AATTAAAGTAGCAATTCATAGCATGAACAAAACAAGTCATCACCCCTCAATTACAAGCATCACCACCATTTCTTTCACTGATTTCTTATAGTAAGGATCCCCAATCATCAGCCTCCATTTGATCCAACCTTGTTTGTTTTATGGCCCTTATTCTTGCACATCTTTCAGCCTACAAATAATAGCAACTCTACACAAAAATTAGGGACCACAGATTAGAAAAGAACAAAAGAACAAAAGAATAATATCTATTTCATTCTGCAAAGTGGAGGACAACACCAAATAAATAATTAACACCAAAACATTATATTTAATTGATCTTTAATCCTAGATTACTAATTGATTATTACCTCCTAAAAAGCCTCAGCAATTTTGCTCAAAACACAATGCCTTCCCCTTTTTAGAGATTCTTATATTCTTGTACTCTGTATCCTGAGATTTTCACGTTTTGGGTAATAAATATAAAATAAGGCTAAACAATATATGTCCCAATGGACTGGTCATGTGATGAATAGCCAAGCAGGAAAATTGAAAGTATACCGCCTTTTCTTCCCCTTTTCTTCTTATTTTCCCACTTGTCTTACTTTTTTTTGCATGTTTTTTTGTTGGCATCTCGGCAACCAAAAAAACATTGAAAGCAACTGGGCAAAGTGGTCCATATTGTTCTTGCACAGGTGGCATCACATGTGGCAGCATATGTGGAAAAAAAAAAAAAGAACAAATGGGTTTAACTGTTGACCGTTTAGGACTTAACGGTCAGCAATGATGGCAACATGAATGGCATCAGGGGAGGGACAACAATGAACAAAAAAAGCGAAGTAGAGGGACGACGTTTGGCTCTTTGGTAGAGTAGAGGGATGACAACGAACATGTCCTTAGTAGAGGGACAAGAGCGAATAAAATATTAAAGTAGAGGGATGACAATTGGCTTTAAACCAATTAAAATCAATCAGAATAATTTGCTCCTTAACCTAAGTTAAGGATAAATTAATTGTACTTTTTTTATTAATTGTTGTAAAAAATATAAAAATTTAGTTTTATTAACTACTTAGTTAAAATTTTCTATATACTATTGGTATTGAAAATAAATTAATTTAATGCCCTACATTTTTAAGAAATAAGGAAAAACAAAATAAAAATCTAAAATCTTTGCTAGTGTTTAACAATACTTTCAACGCATGGAAAAGTGAGCATCTATACTCTATAGTCTATTCTCTCAACCACTGTTAGTGTGGTTTAACTTTGCATCAGCCCCTCCGTTGGCTCTATTAAAATATGAACTAAAAGCCCCTTCAATTTAGCATTGTTAACACTTAAATCCTGAATATGACAATATATCATTTGCATGCGATTGGATCCCAATCAACACAAATTTCTGTTGAGTTTTTCAATTAAGTCTAGAATTATGATTTTATATTTATTTCTAGTTAATCCCAATTTTCTCTGATTCTTAATATATAGTTACTCATTTTTGTAATATGATTTCATTTTTAGTTATTAGTAATTATTCATTTTTGTAATATTATTAGTAAACATCATATAACTCTTATTCCAAAACTATATTTATTTTTAATAATTACTTTTGTGTTTTATCCAAAACTAACGTTTATCAAACAATAGAGTTTTATGGTATGTTTGGTTTGAGAAAACCAAGAGGAAGGAAGATAACTTTATTTGGTAACAAAAAAAAAAAAAAAAAATGGAGGCAAGAAGAATGGAAGGATATATATTCTTCCATTTCCCACCTTCTTCTCCATTTCCCTTAATCTAACCATATTTTTAAGGTGTCTCTCCATTTAACTAATTAAGGTTGATAAATGCTTTTTACTTTTACTATTGCCTAAAATAATTAATAATGACTGACAAAATTAAAATCTTTTTGCTAATAATGGGTAAATAAAGAAACATATTACAAAAACCACAAATGTATTTTTTTAATTTATTTAAGTAACTAATTATTAATAACTAAAAATCAAATCATATTACAAAAATAAGTAATTAATAATAATAATAAGGGTTTATCTAATCTTACACAAGACTCGTTAATTAAGATATTTTTAATTAATTTTGTATAAATTTTCATATTAAATTCATAATTTTTATAGATTTTAAGGACAAATATTATATTATATTATATTTTTACATTTTATATTATATTTTATTTAAATCTTGTATTAAAATTTGTATAAAATTAATTACAGATACTACAATTAATAAGATTTAACTTGTGTCTTTAGAATACAGCTTAGAAAATCTCTAATAATGTTAATAATTGAGATTAATAAGAAATAATTAGAAAATCATAATTCTGGACAAATTGGAAAGCTTATTAAAAATTAGTCAAATTCGTAGGGACCCAATTGCACGCACAGGATGCGTTGAGTATTTAAAGGTTAATAATGCTAAATTACAAGGGCTTTTCATATGTTAATAGAGTTATCGGAAAAGATAACGGAAAGGTGAATGACACTAACGGTGGTTGAAGGATTGGAGCATAAATGCGCACTTTCCCGTTTGTTCAATGTGTTATTTGACGCTGTCTAGATTTTGGATACTTTTTGCCATTATTTTTAGAGGATTTTTTTATTTTCTGTTTTTAAGAATATAATTAATGTATTTTTTTTAATTATTAAGTTACATATAAAATAAAATTTGATTTTAATTTTAATAGTTAATTAATTAAATTAATACACATAACATTAACACTAAAATTAAAATTAGAATTTTTATTTTTCTATACAATTTAATAATTAAAAGGTATATTAATTATACCTATAACTTATATCTTTAAAATATAAATTAAAAAAATCCTTTCTTAGAAATTGTTGGGATAGGCCCAACACCCGTTTCGGGCCACATGTAGCAGGCCCAACTATGCACCCACAGGGCCAAGAGGAGCAGACATACCCACGTGACCAGTGCCACGTGGGCCAATGAGATGCTTACATGTACAGATGTATGTCAGCACTTGGGGTTATAAATACCCCCCAACTACCTTCGATGAAGGTAATTAATCTCTACGCTTCTCTCTCTGCAATTACTCTTTTGAGAGCATCTCTCTCTAGAATATCGAGTATTGTTGACTTGAGCGTCGGAGTGTTTTCCCCGAGGAAAGATCCTTGGGATTTTCAGGTGTGGAAGCAGCCGAAGACTTCAACAGTATTGGATCGTGAAGTTGCCCAAACATTTGGCGCTGTCTGTGGGAAGCGAAGTTGTGTAGCTTAACTTGCTGAAAAAAAAGATGGTTCATACTTTTACCGGAAGTCACCCTCCGAGAAATGAAATGGATGAACAGGAGGACATGCAACTATTTGAGTTCGGCTTGAATGATTTTAGGACAATGTCAAGAAACCTTTTTGTTGGAGGAGCAGAACAGGAGCAACTTAGCAGAACAGATGATGATGAAAGAACATCAATTGGGTACGCAACCCAATCTGAACAATTCCCAATTCCAACAGGAACAAGGCAGAGACATCCCAGACTAGGTACTTCACAACAAGAATGACCTGAAAGGTCAACAGAACCTGCTCGAACAACCGAGCTCGAAGAGAGAACTAGAGTTCTCGAAATGGCAATGGGTAAAATCCTTGCCCATCTGATCCCAGATGACCCCTCAATTCCTCTGTTGAATAGGGATGCACAACCAACTGCAATTGTTGCCACTCGAAACTCCCCCGCTCTGAGCAATTTAGTAGTGCTGACCAAACCAAGTGGAAGTGGGAAGTTGAATAATGAGCTTAGCTCGTCCAAACATAGTGAAGAACTGATGGGAAAGAATGCAGACCTTGAAAGGCAACTACGGGATGTACAGAAATCCATTGACAAGCTGCCGAGCTCAAAGGCATGATGCAGAGCTCCAACACGAGCTGTCAAGCTCAAAGGCATGATGCAGAGCTCAAGCACCAGCACGAGCTGCCGAGCTCAAAGGCATGATGCAGAGCTCTAGCACAAGCTACCGAGCTCAAAGGCATGATGCAGAGCTCTAGCACGAGCTACCGAGCTCAAAGGCATGATGCAGAGCTCAAACACCAGCATGAGTTGCTGAGCTCAAAGGCATGATACAGAACTCAAGCACGAGCTCGAGTTGCCGAGCTCAAAGGCATGATGCAGAACTCCAGCACGAGCTGTCAAGCTCAAAAGCATGATGAACTCAAGCATAATCTGTTGAGCTGCAAGCATCCTACCCGAGGTCAAGCTAAAAGATTTGGAGCATGAGCTACAAGCAACTTGCTCGAGCACGAGCTGCAGAGATGCAAATATCCCACCCAAGGTTGACCTGAAAGATGTGCAGCATGAATTGCTAGGGGTCAACACCCTCAACAATGGCTCGACACCTTTTCTGCATCAGTGCTGAAGAGTCCGTGTCGGGTTTTTGTGCTTCTTTGCAAATTCTGTTAACGAGATGGAAAAGTGCAGGGAACAGGTTAATTATGAAGCTCCTCTGAATAAATTCAGACAAGAAGGGGGAGAAATAAGGGGAGTTCTACATTCTACATTTTACATCAAAGTTTGAAGAACAAGGGCGTGAATAACTTGAGCTTGTCCCAAGACCTCGTCAACAGATGAGTAGGGCCGAGCAAGATCCAAATCTTCATTTGGTGAGCTCTTACATCAGTGTTTTCCTTAAGCTTGCTCCAAGACCTTGTCAATAGATGAGCAGGGCCAAGCAAGATCCAAATCTTCATTTGGTGAGCTCTTACATCAGTGTTTTCATGAGCTTGCCCCAAGACCTAGTCAATAGATGAGCAGGGCCAAGTAAGATCCAAATCTTCATTTGGTGAGCTCTTACATCAGTGTTTTCCTTGAGCTTGCCCCAAGACCTCATCAATAGATGAGCAGGGCCGAGCAAGATCCAAATCTTCATTTGGTGAGCTTTTACATTAGTGTTTTCCATGAGCTTGCCCCAAGACCTAGTCAATAGATGAGTAGGGCTGAGTAAGATCCAAATCTTCATTTGGTGAGCTCTTACATCAGTGTTTTCCTTAAGCTTGCCCCAAGACCTCGTCAATAGATGAGCAGGGTCGAGCAAGATCCAAATCTCCATTTGGTGAGCTCTTACATTAGTGTTTTCCATGAGCTTGCCCCAAGACCTTGTCAACAGATGAGCAGGGCCGAGCAAGATCCAAATCTTCATTTGGTGAGCTCTTACATCAGTGTTTTCCTTGAGCTTGCCCCAAGACCTCGTCAACAGATGAGCAGGGCCGAGCAAGATCCAAATCTTCATTTGGTGAGCTCTTACATCAGTGTTTTCCTTGAGTTTGCCCTAAGACCTCGTCAATAGATGAGCAGGGCTGAGCAAAATCCAAATCTCCATTTGGTGAGCTCTTACATCAGAGTTTTATCTACCACTTGAAGGCTTCATCAATAAATGAGCAGGGTTGTGCAAGAGCCAAACCTCCACTCAGGTTAGGCAAGATCCAAATCTTTATTTGGTGAGCCTTTTCAAAAAGAATTATAAGCTGAGACCCTGCATGGATGAGCTCATAAAGCTCCAATAGAGAATGACGAGCTGACAGAGCTCCAACAAAGAATGATGAGCTGACAGAGTTCCGATGAAGACTGATGAGCTCACAAAGCTCCAATGAAGAAAGACGAGCTGCAAAAGCTCTAACAAAGCATGACAAGCTCACAGAGCTCTGATGAAGAATAATGAGCTCACAAAGCTCCCATGAAGAATGACGAGCTGAAAGAGCTCTCATGAAGAACGACGAGCTCACAAGCTCCGATGAAGAACGACGAGCTCACAAGCTCTGATGAAGAACGATGAGCTCACAAGCTCCCATGAAAAATGACGAGTTGAAAGAGCTCTCATGAAGAACAACGAGCTCACAAACTCTGATGAAGAACAACGAGCTCACAAGCTCTAATGAAGAATGACGAGCTGAAAGAGCTCTCATGAAAAATGACGAGCTGAAAAAGCTCTAATGAAGAACGACGAGTTCACAAGCTCTCATGAAGAACAACGAGCTCATAAACTCTGATGAAGAGCGACGAGCTCACAAGCTCTAATGAAGAACGACGAGCTGAAAGAGCTCTCATGAAGAATGATGAGCTGAAAGAGCTCTAATGAAGAACGACGAGCTCACAAGCTCTAATGAAGAACGACGAGCTCACAAGCTCTAATGAAGAACGACGAGCTCACAAGCTCTAATGAAGAACGACAAGCTCACAAGTTCTAATGAAGAACGATGAGCTCACAAGCTCCGATGAAGAACGACGAGCTCACAAGCTCTAATGAAGAATGACGAGCTGAAAGAGCTCTCATGAAGAATGACGAGCTAAAAGAGCTCTAATGAAGAACGACGAGCTCACAAGCTCTAATGAAGAACGACAAGCTCACAAGCTCCGATGAAGAACAACGAGCTCACAAGCTCCGATGAAGAACAACGAGCTCACAAGCTCTAATGAAGAATGACGAGCTGAAAGAGCTCTCATGAAGAACAACGAGCTCACAAACTCCAATGAAGAACGACGAGCTCACAAGCTCTAATGAAGAATGATGAGCTGAAAGAGCTCTCATGAAGAATGACGAGCTGAAAGAGCTCTAATGAAGAACGACGAGCTCACAAGCTCTGATGAAGAACGACGAGCTCACAAGCTCTAATAAAGAATGACGAGCTGAAAGAGCTCTGATGAAGAACGACGAGCTCACAAGCTCTAATAAAGAATGACGAGCTGAAAGAGCTCTGATGAAGAACGACGAGCTCACAAGCTCTAATGAAGAATGACGAGCTGAAAGAGCTCTCATGAAGAACGACGAGCTGAAATAGCTCTCATGAAGAATGACGAGCTGAAAGAGCTCTCATGAAGAATGACGAGTTGAAAGAGCTCTAATGAAGAACGACGAGCTCACAAGCTCTAATGAAGAATGATGAGCTGAAAGAGCTCTAATGAAGTATGATGATCTCGTAAGCTCAAATGAAGAATGATGAGCTGAGAGAGCTTTGATGAAGAACGACGAGCTCATAGAGCTCCAATGAAGAGTGACGAGCTCATAAGGCTCCAATAAAGAATTACGAGTTGACATAGCTCAAACAAAGATTTCCGAGCTTGCAGAGCTCTAATGAAGAATGACGAGCTGATAGCATCTAATGAAGAACGACAAGCTAAGAAAGCTCAAATAAAGAATTGCGAGCTGAGACCCTACATGGGTAAACTCTCACAAATAGCGAGCTGAAATCCCAAATGGGTTAGCTCCAGATAATCCTGAATACTTTGACTTGAATGGTTCAACAAAGAATTACGACCTCATTGACTTGAATGGTTCAACAAAGAATTACGACCTCATAGAATGAGCTAAAACCCTACATGGGTAAACTCCTATGAAGAATTATGAATTAAGACACAACATGGGCGAGCTTCAATAGAGAATTCCAATTGAGATGCTGATGAGTGGGCTCTAGAGAAATTATATTGAGGCTTTAGTGAAATTGAGCAAAAACCATGTGTGGTGAGCTCAGAACTCCAATCTAAAGTGCTTGGACCAGATTTCAAGCAACACCCTTAAAGGTTGTAGGCTCCAATCACAAAGCTCAAAGCTCTTAAAAATGATCAACTCATCTACTCTACAAAAGCTTGTGCCCATCAGCTATTAGCTTTTCAGCACATTTTTTCTGTGAAAGCTCAGTTCAATTACAGCTCTACAGAGCTGTAATACCCCAAAATTTGGGGGTATTTTAGCATTAAATTGGGGACTTATTTGAGGAAAAATATTGTTTTGGGGTTTAAT